CATTATTGGATTTACGATTTATATTTATTTCTTGTTGGATCTGGATCTTATGTTAATAGGAACGCGGCGGACGGGTGAAAAAAATGAATTTATTGGGAGATATACTCAGATATAAAAGCAAAAAGGCGAGAAAAGATAGTTTGATATATGCTCAACAGAACCTATGTAGTTAATGGATCTCTAATGCTAAATCCGTGCAAATGGCAGTCCGTGGAAGTGATGATGAGGTGAAGTGAAGTGTGCATTTCTATGTAGTAATTGAGCATGTAGGCAGGTAGGCACATATGTATATGTAGGAGAGGAAAGAAGTAGATCAGCTGGCTGGGCAATGAGCGAACCATGTACGATCTATCTGATGGCAATTGGGGAAGGGGTATCGATTGGGCCGTTGCACGACTGCAAAAGTCACACCGGAGAGTAGTGATTGGGCGGACGGCAACCCAGATCTGGATACTTTTGAAGTTGATGGAAAAGAAGGGCATGGAAAGCGACAGAAGTTGCCTATGACACCAAGGCAACACAGATATCTACAACTCTTGCTGAATATGTGGCAAGAGGTGAGGTGTAGGATGCCGAGTGATACTGCATGAGGGTGGGGGGAGTAGAAACACGCGCGTCTATACCTCGCATCACCGGGTTCTGCTTGTTAGAGACCCTTGAAACCTAGGTCAACTCACTCACCTGTCTATCTGTACCGCGCAACCTCACCGACCTCTTCTCCGTCCCAGAATCGCTTCAAAACCGTCGCCTCTGTCGACATCTTATGTAGACCAGAAACCTTCAGCTATTCTCATCGTTAGTTATCAGGATCACCCCACAATACCCACCTCCCCCGCATACCCACAATGCCCCTCCTCTACCTCCCCAACGAACTCCTCCTCCTCGTCGCCTCGACCCTCCCAAACTCCGCTATCGCCTCACTCCTTCTGACAAACCGCCGCCTGAATTCCCTCCTGACCCCTCTCCTGCACGCGCACTTCATCCCACCAGAAGATGGCCTTCTCTTCTATGCCATGCGACACAACAATACCCCCCTCGCAACTCTCCTCCTCACCAACAGCTTTGCCTCTCCCACCGCTACAGACCCCGACAACGGCCGCACCCCACTCCATTGGGCCGCTATGCACGGTCACGACCTTATCGCGCACCTAGTGCTCGCCAACGGCGCGGACGTCTCCGCGGTCGATTTCGACCGCAAGACAGCGCTGCAGCTGGCCGCGGTTGGTGGTCACGTGTCCATGGTTGGACTCCTGTTGGAGGCGGGCGCAGACCCTGAAGGTGTCAGCTCGGGTGGGCAGACAGCTGTGCACTCAGCTGCGAGGAATGGGCATGTCGGAGTGTTGCGGTTCCTGTTGGAGCGAGGGTGCGGTGTTGGCGTGAAGGACAAGGACGGGAAGACGGCGATGCATTGGGCGGCGATGTGTGGCTGTGAGGATGCAGTTTTGGTGCTGCTGGAGAGGGGCGCAGAGGTGGGTGGGAGGGACAAGAATGGGAGGACGCCGCTGCACTGGAGTGCTATTGGTGGGAGGGAGGCAGTGGTGAGGTTGCTGGTAGAGAAGGGCGCGGGCGTCCATGAGAGGGATGAGGGTGGGCGTACACCGTTGTTCCTAGCGGCCGCACATGGCCATGAGACGACGGTGACGGTATTGTTGGAAAAGGGTGCGGGCATCGATGTGAGGGATCGGGAGAGGAAGACTCCGCTTCATGCATGTGCGGCCTCTGGAAGGCTGGCAGTCGTAAAGCTGTTGTTGGCGAAGGGCGCGGATCCCTCATGTCGTGACTCTGTAAAGAGGACACCGCTACATTGGGCTGGATACTCAAATAATCCGGTGCCAATGATCCAATTGCTTCTTAGAGAGGGTGCACAGGTCTCTGTCAAGGATGACAAGGGGCATACCCCGCTGCATATCTCTGCCCGGCACATGAACGTTCGCACTGCTGCTATCCTGATCGAAGGCGGCGCGGATGTCAATTCGTATGACAATGATGCACAAACCCCGCTCCATGAAGCTGCTTCTCAGCTCTATGGACAAGATACAGTTGCCCTCCTCCTTGCCAAGGGTGCTGATGCCGAGGCTGTCACAAAGGACGGAAAGACAGCCCTGCACCTAGCAGTAATTCACGGCCATGACACATCTGCAAAGCTCATCCTATCTCATGGGACTAACGTTGACCATCCTGATAACTCTGGCAGGACACCCCTCCACTATTCGGTCATATACGTATAACTCCCGAACTCTTATTAGCTGCCCATAATACTGACTTCTCAAAAGGGAAAACAACCACTGCACCTGGTAAATTATACGCCTCCCACCAAAATCACGCTCTTCAATCTCCTCCTCTCCCACAACTCGAAGATCAACTGCACCGACCGCGCAGGAATCACTCCGCTCCATCTCGCCGCCAAAAGCGGAAACCCTGCCCTTATTTCTGCCCTCCTTTCTAACGGCGCCGATGTCAACGCCCGCACTTGGCCCAATCATATAACCCCCGGCCGCACTCCGCTCCACGAAGCCGGAGAGCCACCCCAGACCCTTAGGCTCCTCATTAGCCACGGCGCGGACGTAAATGCGGTCGATTCGAAGAAGCAGAATCCGCTGCATGTGCTTTTGGGAAAGGGGTGGAGCGTAACACGGGAAGTAGTAGAGATACTACTGGATGCGGGGTGTGATATTTATGCGAAAGACGAAGAGGGAAAGACCGCCATGCGGATTGCTTATGTGGCTGGAGCGGATGATGTCGTCGCCTTGTTGGCAGAGAGAGGCGCGGAGAGATGCCCAGAGGTCGTGACGGACAGCTTTGACCTGGAGCTACAGCCAGTTGAGGGGGAAATTGAAATTGTGGGACACTTGGACAGTGATGAGGATGATGACTTGGATGACGATGATGACGACGACGACGATGATGATGACGATGAGGATAGCGAGAGTGAAGAAGGAGTGATTGTGGACGAAGTGGGTGAGGAGAAGGAAATGCTGAAGAGGGTTCAGGAGGTAGGAGACTGGTATGATATTGTTGGCGAATCCGGAGTAACGGCGTAACCGGGGTCTTCTTTTTTATTTCTTATTACTTGGTTATATTCCGTTTGTACTGGTTTCATTCTTGGGCGGCGGGCGGGGCGTATATATCCTGTTGTGTAATTTTGGCCAAGCAAGTGTAAGTAACTTGATGCAGACAATGAAACGAGTTGATCTCGGTGGATGCACGTATTCTTTCGCTTTATATCCCTGTTCGCGTGAAATTGTTGGGTCATGAGTGATCACTCGATGTGATAGCCCGATCTAGATCCGTGCCTACACCAATTGCAACTGCTCATCGTTCTATGCAATGCAGGCTGTAAGACTAGAGTAGGCCAGAACCTTCCGCTCCCCATGGGGAAATCGTCATGTGTGGCACATCAAGAGTGCCGTCTTTACTTTAAGTAACCTTTGGGTAATCCATAGTATTTTGCCACCAGATCTGTCGGATAGGTGAAAAAGTGGGGTCTTTTATCAAATAAACGAAATGTACTCTTGAGAAGGGAGGTAGCATTTGACTGTGGCTGCTAGAATAAAGGCGAACCGAGTGTACCCAGGCCGTATTAAATTGATGAGAGTTAGACCAAAGGAAGTTGCGCAGAGGTCGTCACATGAGAGGCCGTAATCACAATCTGTTCCCCGACATAATTAGTGTGACGTATAATTAAATTTCCTTTGAAGGATAGAGAGTTCGTATCTAGGATGTAGGCGTGGATTTCGGTAAGTGTAGGTTCCAGGAGGTGGGGTTAGGGGAGCAAGAAGAGTTGAAGTATGTGTGCCAGCAGAGCACGCAGAGGGTAGATTGGCAGTGAGTGGGTTGATGAAAAGAAGGGTGCGCGTGTACCAATACCTGCACGGACCACCTATTAGATGCCTACAAGTTCATCAGCTATTAGTAGGGGTATAGGAGAGAAAGATGCAGTCAGTCTATAGCTTGTGACACATTAGCTACACCGTGAACGTACGTAGAATCGTAGCGGCTACGCTACTTGACGAAATTTAGACCAAAACATCGATTGGTGTCAATTATAGAGAAACCTATCATAATTCCACCCTCTCGAAATTCCATCCCTCCTAAGCTTCCGGCAGAATTCAGCTACCGTGAGGGTGGAATTATGGTAGGTTTTGTTGTAGTACACATTCTCCTCTCAACTTTCAATTTTATCCGCAATTTCAATAATCTATTTATAACAGAACGGGGCTTCAAGATGCATCACGAGAAACATCGCGATATCGTGTGTCCGTCTTCTAGCAACCGTCTTCTAGCAACCGCACAACGAAAGTTAAGCAAATTCATTATACAGCTATACGTACTATCAAGAACGGGCATGGCATTCTGAATAAGGATGATGGTGATAGTTCTCAAGAACAGTGGGTGGTATGTCTTTTGTAACTAAAACTTGTGACTGGCCAGACGTACACATATAGTTATGAATTAAATGTACTTAAGATTTTTGAAAGACACATCAGATGTATAGAACATAAAGAAGTTTTGATGGGTCTATACGGATTCTGAAGCACAAATTCAATTACTAGTACTGCTGTCCTACTATTATGATTGGATGCCTTTTTGACGTTTTTATTCGCCTATTTTACCGAGACATGGCACTTGCAAATTGGCATGCTAACAAACCACGGACCACCACATTCAAGAGCGTAAGCTGAGGGAGTATAAAACCCCAACATCTACCCTCCGCTACCACCATCAACACTCAACACTACATACTCAACTCACAAGTATAGAATCTTTCAACAACCTTCCTAGTCAGTTGATATAAGGTTTTATACTTGACTTAGAAATAATCAAAAGGACCACGCAAGGTAGGATATTAATACTTTTTTTTTTACACTATCAAATGTTTTTCACTACTAATTCGAAATAGATAAACATAATTTTTTTCGTCTACTCATTAAACTACAACACTTTCACTAGCCATCAAGTTTACTATTATTGTTATTCAACCAACAAATACCACCAGTGCAATGTCACTGATCAACCTCCCCATACCGCTCAGAAACCTCCTTGCAAAAAATACCCCTCCCAACATCCTCCAAAATCTCGACCGAATCAATCTCTCTGCACTCCTTCCTTATCTCACCGCTGCTATCCGCGTCGATAACCCTACTCTCACCCCTTTCCTCTACGCCTGCAAACATGGTTATGCGGATCTAGTCAAATTATTCATGCTCCACGGCCTCTCCGCCTCTACCCCTAACGCAAAAGAGCAAAACAAAACTGCTCTTCACTACGCATCTGAACAAGGCCACGACCGTACAGTCAGTATTCTCCTCAATCGCGGGATCTTCGCCGACGCTGTCACTACCCATGGATGGAGCCCACTCCATTATGCGGCCCAGGGAGGGCATGTTAACATTGTTAAAATGTTGGTGGAGCAGGGTGGAGCAGATATGGACAAGAAGACTCGGTTTATTGCGTTGACGCCGCTACACATTGCAATCGCGGAAGGGAAATTTGAGGTTGTTCCAGTGCTGGTTCAGATGGGCGCCGATATAAATGCGCGTGATGTCAATCGAGCGACAGCGTTGCATTTTGTTGCTTTGAGCCAAGAAGCGAGGATGAAGGCCTTTGATGGCACTCCCGGGCTTACAAAAAACGTCAAGGTTTCGTTGGCGCAGAGGCTGGTTGTTTTCAAGTTTCTGGTACAGGCGGGCGCGGATATGGAATTAGGGGACAACTATGGAAAAGTTGTTAAGCAGTACATATCGGCGGGGGAAATTAAGGTGTTTGAGGAGAAGATTGCAGCATTCAAAACGGGCTATACGCTTACGGAGGGAAAGAAGAGGGAGAATGAAAGGAAGCTGAGGGCAGTCAGGATTCAGCAGGAGGACATTCGTGTGCAACAGGAGGAGATCCTGAGAAAGTTTCTCGAAGGCTTGAAATGGACTGTTGAAGTTCAGAAAAATTCTCAAGATGAAGGTTACGAGGATGAGGAGCACGAGGATGAGGAGCGCTCGGGTGGGGAACACTCAGATGACAGTGAAGAAGGGTCTGGGACAGACTCCGAAGACGAGGAAAGATCGAAAAATTCGGAACACCTCGACGATCGCGACTATGAAGAAGAAGAGGAATGCTTCCGGCAGTTACACCAAGAATCAAGGGCTCAGCTGGAACATCGTGCAGAGGCCGCAAAGGGCGGCCCGAGCTTCCTCAAACGCAGTTTCACCTACCCCTTGTCCCTGGTCTGGGTTTCGACTCTCCTCTTGATGGTCGCTATTTACCTCAAGATGGTGTGGCCGGACAATGAGAGGTCGTTCTACTACTAATCTCATGTGGTATACTTGTTTAGTTTTTATATAAGTTGTAATGGCCATATGGTCAGTACTAGTTGAGCTATTTAGTCATTGTGTCTGTTGAGGCATTGATCATGATCAGCTAGCTAGTGTTAAATTTACTTCTCTTCCTATAATATGAGCGCTGTTTTCTGTTCTAGCTGACATTTAATGAATTTTTCACTGCACAAAATTATCAATAATTCTTTTTCCGTGTTGCCCTGCGAGTGATACTTTGTGATTCCCAAGTTAAACTAATCCAAGTCAATTAGTGGCATGCGACCTCAATTTCAAATGTTACCCGGCCCATGTGCTAGTAGCGAGCGAGAATCTATGATTGTAAATTAAAATGTTGCGTGAGAATGGCGCTAACAGTAAATATGGTGGGGCGAGACTAGACTAAAATACGGCTGTTCTATACTAGACACGACCATATCATGTAGCAAACTTGAACCGCCATCGATATCTATGCCATCTAGAGACCCAATCAAATGGCAGCTACACATCGAATCCAACTAATTAAAGCCTTTTGCAAACCCAAACTACTAGCTACTTCGGTACGGATCCTTCAGAAGAAATTTGAGTACAAGACAATTGCAAACTTGAGGCTAATCATTACGGATAAAATTGTCACAATTGTACAAGTACTTGTACTTTAAGTCACTACTACATGTACATATACATCACGCACTAATATTACCACATAGTGTGGTGGGCACTTCTACAAAAAGGCGACACTCGATAACGTCTTTAACTGATTCAGAGATTGGAGAAACGTCATTTACTTACTTCTGGGATTGTGCGACACTTCTTGGGTTTCAGAAAGACATCTCTATCACGCAAGATTTGTTCACGTTCTCGCCATCTTCTTCTCCTACCCATACCCACCTATCGATTCCTAATAGTCTCCCGGTTCCCTCGCTCTCTTGTTCCCTTCGATCTCTACACTGTTTATATACTTTCCTTTATCATCTGCATGGCCGTTCCGCTGCACCCCTAGCTCACGCGCGGCGCCCATATATATTGACAGTAGGAATGGCTTAGTCCATTGAAAGATCTAGCCGGGACGGAACTGGGCTCAACTGGAAATACTGTGTCGACTGAGTCGGTCAGAACTGAACATATCAGCGTGGGACTGTTAATAATGCACCTTCAGGAGATATTGATAGGGAAGCCCCCAAAAAACAGGATAGGCAGGGTTATCTTTTCAGTTAGTTCGGTTTAAAAACGGCTGACTGAACTAAGTCGTGTCTACAGGTTTATTCAGTCGAGTGGGACCAGGTAAGGTAGGCTCAGTTGACAGCTTCGACTAAGTCGGGCGGGAAAATTGATAGGGAAGGGAACTCAGTTCTGTGGGGATGAGTTGGATGGGAAAACTAAGTCGGACTGCATGGGCAATTCAATCGGATGATGTAATTCATCGCAGTCGAAACTGGGTAGCTCTGATCAGTCAACATTCTGACTTGGGCTTAAGGAGTCGATCGATATACATAATGTCGTCTACTTATTCAATAGGGAAGTAAGGGGGATCTATAGAGAAGCCTAGACCTGCCATGAATCTTGAAAGAAATCAGTCGAAAGAGGTTGAAATACAGGTAATAGGAGTTATCAAACTTCCCGGTACACCCCTAATAAGTTACTTGACTTGAGGGTGTATTTTGTCTGCAGGAAGGCTGAGTCTGAGTTAGGTCCTATTTTATAGATAGCCAGTTTAAGACCGATCCCTATCAAGCAGAATTACAGAACCGGATGATTGGAAATATCAAAGATGATAGCAAAGTATTACTCGGCTTCTGAATAGTAAACTCAATCCAGTCCATAGATCAACTCAGTCGGACAAGCCCAAGCCTGCCTTGAGTTCAGTCTATCTCAACGTCTCAGTTCGATGGGCCAGTTAGCCTGCAGCTCTCAAGCCTGACAGAATAAAACCAGCTCAGTCTATATACGGATAATATATCTAGCTTTTATCAATGAGCTAGGCTTTCAGGGCGGGAAGCCAAGGAAATAGTATAGTGTAATTGGTTAAAATGTCGAGATAATGGTGGCTGATGCTATCAAAGTTTCGGGCAAATATATGATTTGACCCCCGAGAGAATGGACTGAGCACGATCTACACGTCGATTCAACCCGACGGGACTTGGGTTACAGATCAACTGAATTGGATGATACGATCTATTTAATCCTTCCTGCACTTTAATCAGTCGGAAGGGCTAGGCCAATCCAATCTTTCGGGATTCAATATTATATAATTATGACCTCGGCGTTTCTACTCGTAATTTCATAGCGTTTGTGAAGACAACTGGGTTGCATACCCGCAAAATCCTGCATGAGGCTCCAGATTTTGGTGTATGCAGACCCAGCTATGTTCACAAACGCTATGAAATTACGAGTAGTATTACCTATAAGCCGACTCAGTCATATGACCAAGCTAGGACAGTGCTGCATCCAAATACATATCAGTCATATCAGTCGTACAGGAAGCCAAGTCTACAGAACTCAGTCGGACAAGGCCTGCTCAGTCAGACGGGTCAAGCCGGTCCAATAAGATAGAGTTGTACAAAGGCTCAACTCAGTCGGGGCCAAGCCGGCTCAGTCCAAGATGGTGGTGAGTCGATCTGCCGAAGGATTAGCCATACAATATAGAGGGTTAGGGTCAATATTGCAAAAAAAGCTAGAAGCGCCACAGTGTGTATTTAAGATTCCAACTTATCTTTAATTCCTGGAGTCGGAGGCCGTAAGATCTAGGAATTTTAGTAGATGATAAGATAGTCATTCCCCACGCACTCCAAAACAGTTAAACTCTGACTCGCTAAGCAATCGGGTAGTTTAGAGCAATTGGATAGCGAATTTAGCCAGGTGCTGTAGATAGCATTAGCTAAAGTCAGAGGGTCAAGTTTTGGAAATGATCGACAATCAATTAATTGAACCACACGCACTAGTGATTTCCCATATTTTCTACCAAACGGTCATGGACAAAAAAAAAAAAAAAATAGAATTAAATCCATCATCAAAATTCTAACCTAAACTCAATCACTCATTTACATAACATCGCTCCGTCTCCTGCACTGCGCCCTCTCCAGCCAGCACACGTCTCCAAGATGATAAAGCAAAACAAAAAAAGAAAAAGACATGGATTATTATATATACGCAACGCATCGTTTTTTTTTTGTTGACAAAAAAAAATAAAGAATAATCCTACCCTTCATTGCCTTCGCTCCTACGTACCACGTACCGTACTCATAAAAATGATAACTCGAAAAAAGAGGATGATTGGAAAAAAGAGGGGAATGAGGGAGAAAGAAAAAGCGATTGAACTCACTTTACTCGATGCTGGTTCGAGAGGATAGAAACTACACGATGAAGATGAAGAAAGAACAGAACACTAACACGAACAAACGATAACGAGAGAGAAAGAAAGGATAGAAGTGAAAAAATTGCAGTATCATGCGTAAAAAAGACTAACACACGAGACTAGCAAAGGCAGAAAGAAAGGAAATATGGTAGGGCTATCATTCCTCATATGAGGGGCGAAATCAAATGAAGCAGCGCACACCACAACACACAGATACAGACAATGCACGCTTAAGCTTAAACCCGATACCCCCGAAAGCTAAACAGACAGATGCAGATAGGAAGATGTCGCTTCTCTCGCAAACTGACCTGTGCTAAACTCACTCACGTATTGATACTGAAACAATAAGTATTAAGAAGAATCAATTCCCATGCCCTTATTGATTTCGGGTTTTTCCCGCTCCTTTTTTAGTTTGATGCCTCAACGGCCTCTTTCTCCGGTACCTCCTTGGCTGTCTCCTCCTTCTCAGCGTCAGCAACCTTGTCATCGCTGTCCTTCATTTCAACATCCTCTTTCTTGCTGGTAGCTGGATCCTCGTCGTTCTTGTCCTCTGCTTTCTCCTCGGACTTCTCCTCTTCCTTGTTTTGGTCGGCCTCGTCGGCCTTGACGCCGTTCTTCTTTTCGGCAGCCTTTTTGATATCCTTCTCCTTGCCGACAGCCAAGGTCTTCTCGGTGGCTGGCGTGGCTCCATCAGCGCCGGCGAGAACGACGTTCATCTTTTGGAGAAGATCGGCGGAACGTTTCTTGAAGTTATATTTATCATCCAGAGGAACCGAGGGCAATTTGAAGATTCCTTTGAGAACCTTGTTGATTTTGGTCGACTATAGACCAATTTAGAATAAATCCATGTAAAATAATCAATTAGGACTCGAATGCAGCATACCTTGATGACTTCAGCGTCGATTCCTTTATTCTGAAGGTCCTCTAAGAGGTCAAATTTGCTAGCCATATCGGCCATGTCCTGTATTCACATCCCACGTTAGAAATCACAAAAATCACACGAATCAGAAGAGAACACATGTAGAAACTCACCTTTTCCAATGGAGGTGTATCCTTAGTCAGAAACCCCCTTTGCAGCCGTCCTCGAAGTTGCTTGACCTGCTTCATCTGGAATTCAGCGGAGTCTTTCTCCTCCTCCTTAGTAACTTCGGAAGAAGCCTCTTCCCGCTCAGAATCTGATTCATCGACTTTTTCCGCGCTCTTAGCCTTGCTGCTTCTTGCAGGTGTTTTCTTTTTGGTGCTTTTGGGGGCTGGGGCAGCCTTTTCCTTTTTGGCTGTGCTAGCCTTAGGCTTGGCTGCCGCTTTGGCCGTCGTGCCATTAGCTGGGGTTTTTGGAGTCTTTGGCGTTTTCGCAGCTTTAGTTTTTGGCGTTTTGGCCTTAGCAGCAGCCTTCTTAGGAGTTTTGGCAGGTTTCTCTGAAGTCTCGGGATCCTCATCTGATGTTGACAGCTTTCGCTTCTTCGCCTTCTTCGATTTCTTGTCCGCTTCTGACTCTGGCTCATCGACTTCCATTGATTCTGCTTCTTCCTCGGCCGCATCTTCCTCGGCTGCGTCTTCCTCGGCTGTATCAACATCCATAACCTCGCTGGCCTGAAGTTTCTTAACCTGCTCTAGGCCAAATCCTTCTTGTGCAACTTGGTAGGCATCTAAAAGTCCCTTGCTCTTGATGTTTGTTGGAGGTGTAGCAAGAATCTCCGCAGTGAGCGGATCCAAGTTGGCAATGTTCATCCACGAACTGTGGGGTGGAAAGTCAGTTTTTGCGTAAAAAATACAAAATTTCGCCAAAGTCCGAGAAAAAAACACGAAAAGGAAATAAGGAAATTGATGATTTTTGTGCAACCAGCGGGGTTGCGGAAAAAAGTAAACAACGTATGATCCAACCACCACAAAGGGGGTGGCGAATCGTAGAGAATCGCGCACTTTCAAGAAAACACGAAGGAAAGGGGCACACTCACTACTCGTTAGTTCCCATGTACATAACAGGCCAATGCCTTTTGATCTCCGCAGGCTCGGCAGATGATCCCTTTGTCCGAGGATGCTTGTTGCTAGGCCTGGTCTTGAGCAGGGCTTCCGGGAGAAGCTCCTCCGAAAGAATGACAGCGGGCCATGGCGGGAAAGTCCTCATTTTGGCCAAAACCTGCATTCCAGGCTCGTAGTTAACATCAGCGTTCTTCACCTTTGCAGGTGTGCCGTTGTTCTTCAGGTTGGCAAGGGACTTTTTCTTCGCGGCAGATTTGGGAGTTGATTTCGCCGTTGTGGCGGGTGACTTCTTCTTCGATTTTTTGACATCCGTCGAGCCATCAAGAGCAGAAACATCCTCTGTATCAGCCTCGGGTTCGGTTGCCGCCGCATTCTCCTTCTCATCCTTTTCATCACTGTCGTTCTTTGAGGGCTCGCCGGCGGCTTTATCGCCCTCGTCGGCGGCCGCGTTCGTTGTGTCGTCATTCGTCTTGGCTCCCTTCTCACCTTCCTTCTCCTTTTCACTTACTTCAGCGTCCGCGACAACCGCGTCAGCAGCATCTGACTTGTCGGCGACAGCGGCGCTCTTGGTCGCGTCATTCTGGATTTCGCTGTTCTCAGCGGATGCGGTGGCTTCCTCCGCAGTGGGACGGGGAGATGGCGCGTCAGCGGCCATTATTGACAATCGAAATTGATTTTTTTGTAGGGAGAGGGGCGGGTCTGTGGTGATATGACGCGTTGGGGTCGAATTATTTGTAGCAGAAGGTTATTGCTGTTGAGCGAAAATTAGGCGGGAGGATGGGGGATGATGGGAGTGTGAGAATATTTGAAGGGAGAAGAGGATGTCTCACGGAAAGGATGGAGGGATGGGAGAAAGAGGACTGAGAGTGTGTTGCTGGGAGGGAAGACAGAAGGGTAGTGGTCAGGGAAATTGCCTAGGAAATTTACTTGTCGCGAGGCCAATTGATTTGGCTGTGGCTTGGTGCTGTTGCGTCCGCCAAGCTTAACAGTCCCACCGAATAAGATGGAAGACTTGCGCCGCACGGCGCTAGCCACTCCCGAAGTAGATTGTGGTGGACCTCGCGTCACGCGAACTGACGTTACTCAGTTCAATCGATTATGATGTCAAAAACCTTGTCGAGGAGTAGAAATGTTCAATTATGTGCGGTTTCTTTCATCTACTAGGGTGGGTACATTTATATACAAAATCTTCAGCCATTCATCCATCCATAAATCAGTGAAACAGCTGGAATTATGTGCTCGTCGTTCCGTGCGTACAGTACCGTAGTCTTCCCGAATCTTATATAAATCATGAACTCCTCATCACAGCCAACATTAATGTACATGCAAAACATTATCCTGTGCTGGGAAGAAATAGCAAGGGACCTCTCGTGAACAAAAGAAATCTCTTTGACAAAAGGGAATAACCAAAAAGAAAGTCGAAAAGAAAGGAAAATCACCTCAGCCCCACCATCAGCTCAGCCCAATCCAAAAATAATACAAATATTAAGCCTTCCTCCACCAATCCTCTTCATCATCTCCTTTATCGATGACAATCTGGGCACCATCGAGATCTGCCTCTCTTGCAGGCTTATGGACTCTCAAGAAATAAAATGCCCAGTCCTCGATTACCAAGAGATTCAAGAGAATGCCATTGATATGCCATCCGATGAGCGCCACGAAGAATCCAGCCACGGCATCGAGGATATAATGATTCGCCGTTGCCAAAATAGCCACGAGGATGATTGTTGGGTATGCCATTCCTGCGACAACTAGTATGATCCGTCTCCTCAACTTGTTGACATGGAGCGAAGAAGTTGGTGGCATTGTCGCAATTGTAAGCCCAATTACGAACGAATATCCAAAATGAAGCGAAGGCATCGCAGCTACAGAGAATTTGTTAATAAATGTCTGACATCATGACAAATCACGGAGAAAATCGAGTTTTTCTCTCCCCGGTAATCCCTTGAAAAGACGTTGTATGTCTCAGACTAAAGGGATAAGACAATCTTCCGAGCTTCTGATTGCCAAAGTGGCTTTCCTGAGCTTCTTGTCCTGCATTCCCTCCAACCCGAGACCCGGCCTGCTCTAAAAGGGAAACTCCAAATGCGAGAAATTCTCAAAGAGGGGAATATAACGCCCCAGGCGTAGTGAGGGTTCTTCTCTATGCAATACGAAAGGAAAAAAAAGTGGGAAAAGAACCCACCAAGTTGATTACAGAATTTATTCGTGGTCCACACACTTGCCACCTTCCCCGCGTGTACAGTGTCCACAAACGAGAATCCATCCTCCTCTGGGAGCAACCTAGGTGGCATACATGGCCATGCCGTAAAGACCACAAATGCCATCAAGTTACACACCGCCAATGTTCTCCTTCTCGCCTCAAACAGTGAAGTAGGTGCATAGTGGTATAGCCATGCCAGGAACGTAATTGTCCCCGGAATATGGATAAAAGAGTAGATCATATTGATAGTCTTTAACAGCATTGGCCTGGGAAGGAAGTACGCCTGAATGGCCGGCTCCAAGAAGATGTTGAGGCGCTGCTCGAGGCGAATGAGTGATAACGCATGCTCACGGGCAGCTACGACAGTGTCGGTCTGTAGAGTAACGGCGCTGAAGGCGCGGGCGAGTTGATAGGTCTGTGCTTCTTGTTAGATAAGATCACACATCATCACCCGCTCCGGGAAGTATGGTTGTACTCACCCAGTAAACTAGTCCCCAGTACCAAACCTCAACCAAAAAGGGAAACTTTCTTAATATCCTCGAAACAAAGCTGTTTTTCCAGCGTATGGTATTCCTGCTGCGAACCTTCTTCCCCAGAAATTTGCGCTCTCTCCATTGCGCCTCGACTACTGGTCCTGACAGTAGCCCCTCTGACGAGGATGTGGAACTTGGTGACCATGATCCATCTCTCTGATCACGAACAACTGTTGAGCGGCGGCGGTTAAATATGACTCCAGCAGTTAGAATGCTAAATACTATCACCGGTTCAAGGAAGGCGTCCATCTTCAATGGTCACCGTACTGTGGCTATTTAGAGATATGAAGAAATATTTGCATAAACAATAGGCAAAGATGTTGATTGAATCACGGGGTCCTCTCGAGTCTCTGGTGCCTCTGGTGACGTGATTGGTAATGAGCCCTAGTTTGTATATATAAACCGCAGTCCCTATTTTCTGCAAAAGATGGTGACAAGAGAGAAATGAAAGGCACTGAGAGGAAGAGGGAAAGGGAAGAACAAAGAGGAAGAAATGGAGGCACACAAGTATGAATAGGCGATCATGTGTTAGTCTAACCATTTACTAACAAACATCTCTTACGCCTCGGAAGCCCAACCAAGAACCGACACCATATCACTGATTAGAAATATCAGCACTGTCTTAACAGCAGATCTTGTGAGTAATAACGGTCTATTTTACCTACATGTAGTCAACCCGAATACTCTAACTGCGGATATGTACTCTAACAGAACAGAGTACCGGGATCTTCGGACATCTCCACCCTAGATCCCTCACAAAACTCACCAGTTGTAGTCGAGCACGCGAGCATTCCTGAGTGTTTTCAAAAGAATCCATGCCGTCAGTCACATCGCCGGGGAGCAAAAGTATTCGGAAGTCCTTGATTCCGAACATGGATGTTCTGCTGCCAAGAACAAAGAACACATGTCGTGGTTGGAGTTTGTTAACTAAAGTCCGGTGGTGCATGAAATGTTGTCCGGACTTTCTGTCCGTCCGGGTTCCGTGTTCAGAATTGAATGCATCATCAATTGGAGAACCCATAGTACTAGATTGATGCCTGCAGATACGATACGAACACACTTCACCTGCTTGTATAACTCTGACTGTATGGGTGAGGGGTAGACTGACAGACAGATTACCCTAACTTTGATTACTGCAGTTGACCTCCCAATTGCGAATTGCCCGGATGTTAAGGTAGCCGGTTTTTGATAGGAACACGACTGAGCAGTTCACCCGGGGTACTTTCACTCACCAAGGTCTCTCTCTACCTGAGAGGAGAGGAGCATTTAACTACACACCTTAAACACGTGCACTCCTCCAGGAACATATTTCTTTAACAGCAGGTGTTCCGCATCCGGAGATTCGTTTCTAGTTATCTCCGGCGCAAAGCGGAGGGGAAAATCTGTCAAAACCCACAATGACGTAAGTTCACTCGTATTTTATGAGGCTCCAGCTAACGCTGACAAATGGAGATGCATGAGACATGCATGAACTCAACCTCAACGTCCAAGAGCTTCCAACAGGCAGCCAACTGCAAAAAACAAAAGCAGAAGGTGCGAGCATGCCGGTCGATTGCTGCCAAGGATTTCGGCGAGATCGAGTGATTACTGATGGCGCGCGACGTCGATGATAGGTTATCCTCGGGTGGACCCCACTGTGGGACCGGTCAAACAAATAACCCTTGCGAACCCTGCATGATCATGGTGGTGATGGTGGTTTATCTCTCATTCGCTGCTCGAACTTCTATCGGCGCTCAAGAAACGAAGAAATGCGAGTCTTCTCTGTGGTTGGCGAGCTCTCCCATGTAGTGACGTAATGTCCCGCTACGAACCCGCATTTTTCTTTAGCGCGATGAGGCTCTAAACCGTATTAGCTGCATTGAGTAAGGCAAACCCCCATCTCGAAGTTCAATGTTCAGCCGCCGTTGGGAGCTTGGAGATTTACATATCCGCGATGTGTGTGCCTTTAGAGATAGATAACGGTGTCAAGCTTTGCACTATTAGTGTCATAAGGCTTTTGACTCAGAACCGTTGAATTGGCTTTTGAACGAATGATACTGCAGTCCATGGAGCCCCGAGTACAAACCAATTTCCAATGGTACCAGTACCATCAGTACTCTATGGCAGGTAATAATGCTACAGTAGCTCCACGCAGGTATCTGGCTGTAATACATACATTGTTGGTTCTTGTCGGGCGCAGGCAACTCTGGGCAGGTCGTTAAGAACTGTCCATTCACCCACCCTTTGCTGCTTCCTACTCATATCACTTGAGTTCACCATTATGATCTGGACTGGACTCTACTCTTTTTTATTTGGGAAATATTCTTTCTGACCACTCAGAGAATTTTCCGGGTCGCCGAGACTTTCTGGCAACGCCTTGGGACCTTAGACAGAGGAAGGGATTCGTCCAGCACTAAAATCCCCATAATTATCATTACCGCCCCTAAGCCTATCCATAATTACCATACGAATATTCGGAAAAGTTTATAAGGAAGTCATGATTAAGTTAATTGCGAAAGTTATATATAGTTGATTCAGGTCCCCAAGAAATGTTTTCGTTTGGCGGACGTTATATGAAAGGAACCGCTGGATATTGATTGAATATATATTTTCACCAAAGATCGGACGATGTTATATTATAAGGCCTTACGGCCACGACAACGGTACACAGTAAGGGACAAATTTGAAGTGAAAGCCAAACAATCTTGAACTCATCGGTACTATCAGCATTGGCGACACATATGTCAAGTCTCTTAACCGCATAACCCGTCGATAAAGACCTTGCCGGCAGAGACTAAAGATCATGGAAAATCTTGACAAGATATCAAAATGATAGAATTTATAAGGGCTATTCGTCTTTTCCCGCATGTCTCGTCGGGTTCTCAGATGGCGTGGATACTGCATCTGATACCTGGGTTTAGTGGCTATTGAGATAACTCT